TCCAGATGACTTTCGTGACAAAGCATAAGCTTCAAAACGATGGTATTCATGATCAGTTTTACAATAGGTAAAAGTGCAAAACGCGCTATGCGATTTAAAGGCTACAGAAATGTGAGGTATCAAACAGTACATGTTGTCTTTGTTTTCGCTCTTTCTTAATACCCCATGTTTTAAACTGATTCAAACGATCGTATATTGGAAGTGGGCAGTATGCGAAAGGAAAAACCCCTTTATCTGACTAGGAATGATTTACAGCAAACAAAATAACGCTATAAAATGCCATCATACCGGGCAGAAATTGGATTCATCGGCGACATACGACACCACTGTGTCGATCTTGCTGAAGTTAGCCAAGACGAAGAGCAGCGAGTCCCTCGACAACTGGCCTACGCGATCTTCGCGAAACAGAAACGGGACCATCAGTTTCAGAATGCTAATATAATTTGAGGGCTCGCTTGATGAGCCCTGATCGAGGTCAAAAAATACATTGTGCTGACGATCGGGAGGGGGACCATGGTCTCCGGTCACGACTACCATTTTTGTGCATACCTGATGCATGAGGAACACAACGCACTCCTCGGTGTCACGTGGCAGGGTCGCGTCGCCCAACAACGTCTGACACAGATAGGGTAAAGAAGAGAAGACATGCCGAAAGCAGATCACAAACTCTGCCGATTGGCTGACCAACGTCTCGTAGACCTTCAATAGTTGTTGAGCGATGGCGTTCTTCCAAGAGGACGAATTGGCCACGCACCACGTCGTCAGAATGTCGAACACCCGCTCCTCACCGACCACTTGCCGTAATGCCGACCGAGCCTGCGCATCATCTTCGTCCCCAACCTTTACGCAGGATATAAGCAACGCAATCAGTTGGTCTACATGGTTAAATATCAAATGAACTGTATCTTCGCAGAGCAGACCTTCTGCGGACACGGCAGCCTTTATCTGATTCCAGTGAGACCGAAATGCCTCGATCCGAGGACAGCTTTCAGCGGTGACACAAGAATTATTTTTGTTGTCTATCTGAACGATAAGTTTTCGGTCCACAACTGGACAAGAGTCTAACCGACACGTAGATATATTCATTACCATGCATGGTATAAACAATCTCTAACTGAGTTTCTGTACGATTTTCAAGTTAGACGAACAGACATAAATTGCACAGGTGAGAGATTGCAAACTGAAAGATACTATGTTTTTTCATACGGATTTAGTAAGCGGCCAGCCGTCTAATAACTTCATAAAACGATGTCACCACTTTTTCGCAGTTTTTGGCTTTAAATCTAGAAATTACCGCGGACAAAAATGTAAGCCCTATGAACTTTACAAATCACCTACCTTGAACAGGATTACTGACACAGTAGTCGTAATAATACAAAGTGTTATCTTTCGCTTTATGTTTCAATAAACTATGTTTTGCGCTGTTTTTCAATGTATAACATCTTCAGATAACTGACAGTACAAAAACAAGGCAGATTTTATTTACAGCTATCTCGATTTCGGTTATCAGATTGATTTAAATATACTGTTCTCGCGCAAGTGAGCATCGAATCGAGTGATACGCTAGCAATTTTCCATTCAGTTATGAAACTATGAGCCGTTACATCCGTGATTCAAGTAGTCAATGCTATAAGTGGTAAGTTTCGCACTGCATACTTAGACCTTCGTTTGTTGTCTGGTGGAGGTATGCTAAATAATATTGACCGTCCAGTCGATGCAAATTTGATGTACCGACGGCGATGGAAGTTCGTCTCCGGAGAATACGGAAGTTTGACCTGCACTATAGTTGGTAGTTGTCAAGGTGCAATACATTACTTCTTGCTGGTGTGGTATGCTCTTGTACCCTACGGCAAACCGCACAGTCACTTCGGTCAAACAGGCATCGGACAGAATCCTTGTTTGCCTGTAAAATCAAACAGCCGACAGTCGATGTTATTATCGCCAGCGCAAGCTATGGAATCCGAATAGTTTTAGTTTGATTAGCCAGCTTATTCGATTTTAGGGCTACATTTGATTCATCACGTCTTCCGACGATGTGGGGAATCCTGAAATGTCATTCGATACATGAATACACAGTTTCGGTTTTGGAAGAGATGTATGCCAGAATTATGTCTGCTATGAAAATTAGATGAAAGCTATCTGAACGGTTCCTTATTTACTGCGTAGTTCGTAAAGAAAATGTTTGCACGTTTACTAATCAGCATTGTTCTCTACGTTCTTCCTTAAAGCAGCGCTGATCCTTCCAAAGTTCAAGGTCTCATTCTAGAGGAAAGTCGCAGTTCAAGTATCACTGAATATTGTACCGGCCCATGCAGCAGCATTTGTAAGTTAATAGCCTTCCATTGTACTTTTCAAAAAGAGAGGATTGAATAAATCTATTCCCTAAGCTACCGTCTTTGATATTACCGGTGAAACAACTCAATTGAAAAATTGCACTCCTAACATTAACAAATTTAACGAGGCAGTTATTATCACACATGATTGATTTGACATGCGTTATTTTTCTTCAAAATTCATGAATGGAGATTATGTCATTTAAATGTTTGATCAGTGGAAAGTTGCTACTGACGAAGATCAACACATTTGTTTTATCAGCTTGGTGACAAACAGCGAAAATTCCTTCCATATATCTCTCGAAAAGGGTGGATTCCTTCCGTATATATCTGAGCTACAATTTCAGGGCTATGATGGGGAAAATGAATTGCTGAATGGAGTCCATTGCATTATTTGAAAAGAAACCAGAATTGGGATGGAAAGAATTCACCTTTGCTAAGTGTAAAATTAAATTATAAAAGAGATTTGCACGCTCTCTTACACAGGCTTCTATTATTTTCTAAAATAACTTTAATGTTGATTTTAAGGCAGGCGTCACTGTGAACGTTAATAAATAGGTTTAAGATGCCGTAGTTGACCAAAATATTACTTCCAGTGAGCCTAATCTAATTCGGCTCCTTGCACAACTCCTGGACGTTAAGAGTGCATTGTGCGTTTCTTGCAGTTAGATATCGACTATTTTCATTATTAATTATGAAACCACTGTAAATATCAATTCATAGAGAAAAACAGACGTGAAAGAAACAATGGGTTTACAATATTAGGTAACAAATAAATGTACCCCTCCTAGATTAGAATTTAATGCGAGTGGTATTTATATAAAGATGAGAAACGCTGGGTCTGGCCTGTCATGTAGAGGAATGCTTACAGGAAGTGCTGGGAGTGTGTAAACAAGGAAAGTGGAGAAATGACTACCTTGATAGAGATGGAGCTTTTAGCACTTAGCGATGTCTGCTAATAGTGTTTAACAATTCTCTCAGACTCATGTGATAGTTGTCTGTTCAATATGATGATCAGCACAGTGGATAACTACCGTTGTTGCTGTATCCACAATTACCGTAGCTGTGCTCATTAACGTGTACAGAGCTAGTAGCTTTCAATTCTGTTACAGTAAAGCTCGGTTAAAAATGTTTAGCGGTGACAATGAGGGGTATGATATCTTCCATTAAAATTTTTATGCTGTTATCCAGTTTACGGATAACATTATTATCTACAATAGACGTGGCTTCAAGTAAAAGAATGTCTTATTTTTAACCTTTTTGATTAAGCCACAGTTTAAGACAGTTATCTAGTCTCTCAAACATTTATTTTTGCTACATTTGTTTAAGTCAACTCTGTTTCCAAGTAGACATTGTTGAATTACCATTGTATTGTGTGCTAATTACTGTTATTTATACCTGTTATAAATTATGATCGATATCAGACACATTTTACAGACTGTGAGACAAACCCAGAATCAAGCAAATAACGATAAGAACTCAACTCTTCTGCGCAGCAGCGCTTTAGGAGCACAGTAGGATTAGTTTAGTAAAGCGACTTTCAAGTTACCGGCAACATGTGAAGTCAGCATTTACATGGCAACTGTCAAACCCTCAGCGACATTCCTTTTCTAAACTCTTATTAGAATGCATATAATGCCCGGTTGATCACCTGCGGAGTCGATTCTAATAGTGCACACCAAATGTACAAGGTCAAAGGTAAAAAGTTGAGCGAAATATTCTTACGAGCTTTGAATTCGATGTAGGTCATTACACTTCTACCAAGTGACCTTGAAAGTTACGGTTATGTGCAACAAACCGGTTCATGTTTCTTTCAAAAACGTCTAGGCGGCTGTGCTGCACGTTATCCGGTGAGACATGGCTACATGGTACGGAAGAATATTGGAAGGCTTGATCCGACTTCTGGTGGCAACGTTCGCCGCTGTAGGATTTGAATCTGTTTGGCTAAATATGAGACAACTGATTGGATATTTGTGGCTCATAAATACGTACAGAGCAGACGCAAATGACCTGGATGATATTTACAAATTCGTCATAACGGTATATTCTTGGGAAGTGGCGTTCTTGGTCAATGGTTTATGCGTTGGCGTGGTGTGGCTTGTCGGAAAAATTTTGTAAGTTGTGTAAAAAACTTTTTGAGTTCTAAATTTTCCTATCACATCTGTTTATAGGGACGTTATACAACCGAAAAGTATGTGCAATGTGTTGATGAACGCCTTCTGGCTTTCGGCCCTATTTTACACCTTAAATTTGCCGATTATGATCTGCAGCAACTGGCACTGGCAGCCATATCTGCATGGTCACGTAAACGGCTTGTTCAAATATTTCATTATTAGCTCGGTGATCTATATTCATCCCGGAGAGAAATTGAAGTGTTGGCTGAGAAAGTCAGTGGACAAGAAGAAAGTGCAATAAATTGAATGATGCCATGCATAAAAATGTTAACCCCCATAAGTGTTTCTGAGGCAACTGAACGCAACAGAATTTGCAAGGCTATTTGGATTTTGTACAACACAAAGCAGTGATTTTCGGTGTCGTGCTTTTTCGTTTTGACTCAACTTTGAAATGGATCACATTGCGAAAAGTTGCGAACTATGCGAAACTGTGAACTATGCCACCGTTCTTGGAAACAAGAATTTTAAGAAATAATAAGGTTTTTTAATGAGCTTTATTAAAAAACTCAAATAACCGTAAAAGTTGTTCTAAAAGCTGTCTGTCTTATGATTATGTGCAGGTACCAAGTAGCAAGAATATATTACTGGCTATCAGAGCAGAAGCATATTGGATAATAAAGAAGCATAACTGTTTTTTGGGTCTCACTGCATCATCGAAGTTGGGCTCGAACCATGATTTAAAAGTGAAGATTCCTTGAAAAGTCAATAGTTTTTTCATCCGCTGGCCATTTTTGTGTCGTTGTTAAATAGGCAAATCTGAAAACCTTGAATGGAGGCGGCGATAATCTTTTTATGGCAGTTGTTGGGACGGACAAATGAAATGCATTTTGAACTCGAAAAGTAAACGAATGAAATTATCAGCGATTAGACACAATTTAACCAATAAATTACCAAAACTGAATACACAACATGGCAATAAGCTAAATTTGACAATAAATTTAAACAGCAAGAATGCAATAAAATATAGCTTTTCTTTTAAAATTTCGATTCTGAGTCTATGATCGTTCGATTAAGAATTTCTTGACACTTGTGCCTAATAATCAACCAGGTTTTCTATAAACCACGGAAACATTGTCAAACATAAATGAAACAGAGATCAGGTCAACGTTATGGCGCGACAAAAAGTTTCTCGTAACATAATCTTGAATGACAGCTTAATAGTGCTCAAGTCGTAAAATTAAATGGATTGTTAACTTCATCACAACTCAAATTTTTAAGTGAACAAAATATCAAAATATACATATCAGAGAATTGTTCATTTAGAATTACCTTGGTGGAACTTGGTTTGTGCGCAGCTTTACATTTATGATGACTGAACGACGCGTGGTGAGGCATTCAAATTATTATTGTACGTCATCATGCTTCTCGAAATTTCTTCAAAGAAATGCCCAGACAAAGTTCGTCATTTGGATATTTGGTGTGATTCAAGTTAATTAAACGCAAAACACTTTTCCACATTTTATTTGAAGCAACAGCTGCTGTAGTAATGCAGTCATCTGTACAAATATTAAGTCAACTTACAAATCCGCATCAGCACTAGTCTATCTTCACATTTAGAGCAAATTCCACTTCTTTGGCCTAGAGCGCATTGCGATCTCCATGTCCACTGCCAGTTTCTTTTCTTTTTAGATGAACTTTCCGTAAGAGAGAACATGATGTCTTTGGCTAAATTTTCCTTTCGTTTACCCGTTGTTTACATCTTGCATAGCAGAAAGGTCTTATATACTATCGTAAATTTTTTTGCCCCCAATGATAATATAATCAACACCGATCTTAAAATTGCTTGTTCTTCGCTTCCAATCATTACATTTTGAAGTTGTTCATAAAAGTTTTCGGCTCCTCGTCTCGCAAAATTCCCGTTTCGGCGATGCTTTTATGATTTTTACATAAAAGAATTTTTTCTGAATATTTTATAAAGATGTTCGATTCGAGAACGAATTCATAGGTTGCACAAGCTGTGTCCATTCTTTGAAAAAACAAATGCTATAAGTATTTTCTTGGACCTTGAGCTGTAGTTTTCATTTCACTTGATCATAACTTTTTGGTTTTTGAGATATGGACATTCATTGTGCATTTACTTCTCGGATTATGCAGGCTCAACATATCGCATTTAACATTTACTACCTTGTTGTTTAACTGTTGGATACGATCCTTCACATTTACGGTTCGACAAATGTAGTTTGCATAAAAAATAGTTGGACTATTTCTGGATAATGCTCTTTCGCTTGTGATTCTTAGCTGCGATTACAGAAGAAATATCTCTCGACAGGTACTGCCGTCCGACTCAAAGTTAACGCATAAGAAGAGAAATTGCTGCTGTTGATTTTACCGTTCATTCAACCTTATCTTGACGGAAAACCCTGAAAATTCTCCCGATTTGTCAAGCAAACAGAACAGGACAACCGTATGCCATTCTTCTGGGTTCAGTCATGTTTGAAGTGATCGTTTTGTGAAGCTAGACCTGCTTGGAGATCTCCTCAGTGATCTTCGGCAGCAACTTCTTGTCTAGAAGTTGTATTTCGGTGCTACTCATCGTGGAAAACATTTGAAACAATAATCAGAAATGCAGTGTCAGTCCGTATGGGGTGTGCTATAGTGGAAGTTCAGTCACCACTTGGATGTTTTCCTGTGTGTGAGAATCAGACGCACCGCTGATCGATAGCGCAGCTTTATTTTCAATTTTGAATCACTTAACAAACATTGAAACGACGAAGTTATCATGACCAAAATTATTTGTGCAACAAAGATTGTATCGACAAAATGTTCTTTTCGAAAATGGCCTGGCTGTGTTATATTTGTTCTTCGACTGCTGAAACTAATCCGCATTCATGATCAGCACGTTTCCGACTCGCATTCTCATGGCTAGGCAATGGAAAAATTTTCACAAGGCTTGCACTGCTTGATACACAAGCAAATTCGGTAAGCTCAAATATATTGTCTTTAACTTATAATACTGCAATTTCCGTCTTCCTTCACTTTCATTTGGCTTTTCTGGCTCTCTTGTTTTCATGAAGTTGATGGTGTGGTACTGATTTACGCCTATATGCCATTAGCCAGGGATGGCTTGTTTTAAAGACACAGTCTACTGCTATACGGCAGGCGTAGCGTGCAATCTCCTAATTTTCTTCCCACAAAATTTTACTCATTTATAAAGCTAGAAAGGAAGAAGGGAGATTGACTCCGACCGAGGTTTGAACATGGGACCTAATGATTTTGAATTCGACGCTCTACCGTTTGACCTACTCCAAATAATTCGTGGAAAGATTTTACACAAAGGAATTCGGGAATAAAACAAAAGATTGCACTTGAGCGAGGTCAAACTTGGTATATCGGTAGTTCGAAGCAGACTTTTTAGACACTTTCGCGAAACGCCATTAAATTATGCAACATCGTCAGCAGATTCAGTGTGTAGTTTATAATTTATAATTTAAACTGATTTAACAAACCGTAGAAAGTTTAGATTTTGAAGCACAGCAGCTAGTTTTAGATAACGTGCCATGGTACTCTAAAAGTCGGGCTTCCGCGTATTCTCCTTGGGCATATGTTAAACGGTTACTCCGTTAATAGAGAAAATGGAACAGACGCATGATTCTCGCATAATCGGGCGCCGTTTGAAATATACAGTACGCCAGGTACCGTTGCGAATAATCGGCGTTGCCGATAGCGTTGCCGTTGTGGATCGAATGGACAGGATAAAGGTTAGTCAGTACGTGGACATTCGGAGATCCGATGGTAGGCATTGCTTTGTAACTACAAGATATCCGCATCGTTGACTGGCCATGTTTCAGGACGAATTCACGGAGCACGCATCCATGTAGTCAAACCCGAGCAGCGTTCGGTGACCGTCGAGTGGACGGAGAACGGCGTCAGCCACGGTAAGGATATCTCCTTCGACGAGTTGCTACGCGTCAATCCTCAGCTGGGCTTCGCGGCAAGCGACGAGACCGGGGAACAGACGGCGGATCATCCGATGCCGGTAGCGAAGCCGGTTGGTAGATTTGCTATAGATGACATTCGTGACAGCATTCTTTTTGTTTTGATTCAAGGATGATTCACAGACGAGAGAAATCACGATGAAGACATCGCGGGATGTTGGAAATGGCCGAAGAAGTTTGGTTCCTCTACGATACCTAAATCGCTTACGATCTCAGCCTCGCCACTCGGTCATCGCCGAGCTGCCTAATCACGAAGGTAGATGCTGCCACGACCGAAACACGGTCGGTTTTCTTAGATTGTTTTGTTAATTCGTAGCGGACGACCTCGACGTCCTGGAGGAAATAGACGACGATGCAGCCGGACCGTCGAAAACAACCACCAAAGGTATTATAGGTTTGATTGTTTTGATATCGGACACTTTTTCTTTATGCCATATGTGAGGATTACCGAATATCGATCGCTTCAGAGTTTTGAACTCCTGGACAACTTGACAACTTCAGAGCGAAAGGTTGTCATTTTGAGGTTCAACCTCATACTATTCTATTGTTTGACGATTCGGTATCTGGCGCTTCATTCGATAGCCAGTGGTTTGCGGCGCTGCGATCAACATCAATGTTTCCATGCGAACGCACGTCGGCTGTCGTCATGTCATCGGGGCCCGTAAACAGAATTAACCATCGCAAATAATATTGTTGATTATTCATCGAATGATCGAAATGTTTCTACCGAGGGCAGGTTTATGGTTTGATCAAAAGTTGATTTTTCTTGTTCTCGAATTGATTATGTTTCTGATGCGGTGGTATTTCGATCGAATATGACAGCATGGCGACGGTGTAGTAGGTTCGTGTTTCAGGGTAAAAACTTTCTCTAGTCTTTATTTCTGGCGTGTTCCTTTTGATGAGGGTTTATTGGTCTAGCCAGCTGCCTCCACATTTTTTCTTCTTTTGTCAGTCGTAGTTTCATATCGTTCTTGACAACATCGCACCTCCATTTTTTCTTTGGCATCCTCTCCTTTTCTCTACTTGGGCCGCATTTCCATCGTAGTCATCGGACCTTGTTTTCACCTAGCCTAAGGAAAAGAGTCTCCTTTCGAAAAGTCTCCTATTCTGCAATTCGTGTTAATTCTAAAGCTCCTCTTACGAAGAAGTTTTAGATATGGCTCTTTGTTGGTGCAGCACATCCAGATGACCTATTGCATTACTACAGAGTTTCTCTTCAAGACAAAAAAAATCAATAGAAGTTTGAAAGCCAGTAGATAATTTAGCTCTGTAGAAGATCCTTGTTGTACAGTCCAAACTTTGATGATAGTACAAGTTTCTTAGTCGTGTTCAGTGCGATTATC